TGGAAGAGTACAAGCCTATTAGAACACTATTGGAGGCCAATATAAAGTTGATGAAGGTCACGAATGAGGAGTTTACTGAATTTGAAGATGAAATGAAAGATGTTCTATACATGAGAGCAGTAGGCTCACTTATGTATGCAATGATTGGTACAAGGATGAATCTTGCATATGCAGTGAGTGTTATGAGTCAATACATATCAAAGGCTAGACCAATCCATTAGACAATCATTAAGAGGATCATGAGGTACTTAAAAGGCACTTTGAACTTCAAATTGTGCCTTGGAAGTGATAATATTGCATTGCATGGTCATTGTGATATGGATTGGGTTGGAGATGGAAATGATAGAAGGTCAACAATAGGATATGTATTCTTTGTTGGAATGAGAGTAATTTCATGGAATTGCAAGAAACAACCAACAATTGCAAGGTCAATATTGGATGCAAAGTACATAGCAGTAAGTCATAGTGCAATGGAGGCAATATGGCTAAGACAAGTTTTAGAAGACATTTGACTTGTCCAATTGGAAGTAACTCTAATGAAGTGTGACAATCAAGAATGTCTTGCCTTTGCAAAGAACCCAAAGCATCATTCAACGACAAAGCACATTGACATTCAACATTACTTCATACATGAAAAGATTGAAATGGAAGTGATTGATATGAAGTATTGTGTAATGGAAGACATGCTTGCTAATTTGCTTATAAAAGCATAAGTGGAGGATAGAAATTATAAATTGATAAAGGTATTAAGATTAGAAACCTTTAACTAATAACAAAGTTGGAGTAATAAAATAAATATTGGACAAATAAAAGATATTACGTAATCTAAGTTATTAATGGTTAAAAGGTAGCAAAAGGTAATAAAAAAGTTATCAAAGTGGCGGCTAGAATTTATAGTAGTGGTTAGGTTAAGTAGAATCTAAGATTCAATTGAATGAAGTAAGGATGAATGAGAATGAAGTTGAGCCACAATAGATGTAAATTCTACATGTAAGTAAAGGATGTTAGAAGTGATAGGCATCTCATTCTACACTTCTTTTGTGTCTAACCTTGCTGATTTCTACTTACTTATGTCTTGCTTATTGTGTTTCTTCAATAACTAATAGAAAATCAAATCCGATCAAAATCATAACCAGGTTTGAAGCATGTGGAGAGAAAGTTGTCGTTGTACTCCATAAAGACAAGCAACAAGGATATGTCCACGCTTGATGTAAGAGAGTAGCTTGCAAAGAGAGCAATTAGGCCGCATTTTGTCACTTAGGCTTTGCATTATATATTAATTTCATGTAAAGAGAACCACTCTAGTTTGACTTTGTGCTTATTAGGTGTAGTGCAATTCTTCATCTATTCCTTTGGAGAATAAAGAGCATTATTGCCTGTGCTTTACTACTCAAGGGATTGAAGAGAGGGCAGTTCTATGAACAAAGTACATCAGAGCAATTTTATTTGACTTGTGTATTACAATGATAAATGTATGTTGCATAGCTATACCAATAACACAGTGTAAATATGCACAAAGTTTAACCTATTGCGTCTCCAAAATCCAAAAGATTGCTAGTAGTCATTTACAACTAGGAAAATATACCATCTTCTGAATAAATGGTTAGCTCTGGACTTGAATTCCTTGGTGCCTATTTCAAGGGTGAGAAGGGGCGCCTAACAACATTTGCTTTTCACCTGCTACCACCATGGCGTCTATTTATATATCATTGATATGTTGAATTGTATAAGAAAGGATTTACTAGCTACTACACATATGTAAATATTTGTGCCACTTGAAGTTTTGATGTACTCAAAAGGACCAAACAAACTTCAAACAGTTGATGGAATACATACAAACATAATCTTTGAAGGGATGTGAGATTGAATTGTTGGCTTCACAAGCCAACATGCTTTGGAGCAACATGATTTGGTTTATAGTGCAAAATATTGTAGTTTTAAGTTCTTTGAACCTTTTTATGTTTTTTAGTCTTTTGTTGGATTGCTTTGCATAGTCCCTCAATAAAATCAAACTACATCTTTTATATCAACATCAAATAGAATCATATTTTAAAACATATATAAAAAAATTACCATCTTAAATTATATAACAAATTACAAATTAATTTTCCTACTATGGATCCAATAATAACTTGTGGATTTATCTATCAATATCAAATTATAAGGTCATTTTTTACAACAAAAATTAATAAAAATTAATATACAAAATATAAAAAGAAGAGTTTTTTTTTTTTTAAATATCAAAATATTATTAACTTCATACTAGCATATCTACAATTAGAGATTTTGTAGCTAACATCTAAACAACCAAACTCTCAATACAAATTTGCCATCCTTATGTTGTTGGACATTGCAAGTGGACACATAGATAGTTCTATGCTTTTATTAAAGTATTTTTAGATAAAAAGGATTTTCTACCAACAACCATGGATCACATCAATTTTAATTTTTTTTTGGAATCTCAAGTAGCATTAGAGTCTAAAACCTTTGAGATGGTTTTTGTCATTAAGGTATTCATAAATTGTAGATAGGTTGTGCCATTATTAAGAAACAAATAGAGTTTTTAGGCTTAGCTTATAAAAAGAATGGTTTCAACCTACATGCTGTAAATGCTTTATAATTCTTTTTTTAATTATTATTGCTATTTTTTTCTTCTTTGATTTGTTTAATTTTTTTATTTTAAAAAGTCTAAAATTTAAGTTTTTAGAGATGTATTTTTATCCTTTCATATACTTATATATTTTTATTAGTCTATAAAGGAAATTTTTATTTTTATAAATAAAATAGATTGAACTAGAAGAAAGCTTCAAAAGATGGAGTAATTGATAAGATGCAAGCTTTAAATTTGAAAGTATTGGACTTGAGAAAGTAATATATAGAAGAAACTTCATATAATGTGGTTGTGAGTGGATACGAAAGAAAATTTTTGCTTTTGATGTGTATATAGAAAAACAATCAATAATCAACATTCTAAGTTGTTTCTAATTTTTTTAACTTGTTTATTTGGAATTTTGTGCATTTATTTTCAATTGAGTTCTATGCAAATTGAAGCAAAGAATATATCTTTAATCAACAAGACAATCATGTCAAGTCTTCTTCCAAGCTACAATAGCATACTTGTTGTCTATGCAAATGTATCAAAAGACTCAATGACTTGCTTTAACATGTTATGTTTAAAATAAATAAGGATCTTCAATGCTTTTGTATATACATGTATGTATATGTATAGAAGAGGTATATGTATACATGTTTGTAATACAATAAATATTTATACATATATTTAAATAAAAAAACATATATATATATATATATATATATATGCATACACTCATATACATGCATAAAAATTATGACTTGGAAAAATAAATGAAACATATTTATTTTTCAAATGACTATTCTATCATATTAATTTAAGTTTATGTGGTGTAATTAATATATGTTTTTAAAACTACATTAAAATGTTGGATATACAAAGAAGTATTTTTTTCATTATATGTCAGTCGTATCAAAAATTACAGAATTTGATATCTCAATTATGCAATCTTGGCTAATAACACATTGATTTTACAATATCAAATTAAAAAAGGCATCTTTTACATGAAATTTTATTTGAAAGAAATTGATAAAGTAAAACTTACTAAGTTTAATTTTTCTATCTTTCAAAGAACACATTTTTATACATAAAAAATGAAAATATACTCCCACATTGTACAGTCAGAAATGAAATATAATTAATAAAATCGAACAGAGAGTAACGCATCTCCTGCTAAAAGACACAAGACGTGGCATTGTATGCACATTATAAAACTGCAGACTCAAGAATACGGTTTTCTAAAAATAGTAATTAAAAAGAGTTATTGAACGATGGTTTGCCTGAAGGCCAATGCCTTGCACTATTATGTCGTTGCAAGGTGACGAATGCCTGCAACACTCTCAACAAGAAGATGCAAGAACTTACTCACAAGAGAATCTACCCTGAATGAGAAACATACTATATATACACGACTGCTCAATGGCGATTCACTTAACTATTAATCCTACATACTATATTTAGTAGATGCTGAGACCACTTTGACCACCAGGTACACCAGAGCAACAATCCTCGTCGTGCCACGGTTCCACGTGAGCCTGAGCAGCACAGAAAGTGGAGATGGAACTGGCGTGGGCCCATGAGATCAATCTCCCGTGGTCTATATGAGGAGGTAAAATTGTGTCAATGCAGGAGCTATGCAATCGGCAATGCGCACACAGGCAGAGGCAGAGGCAGAGGAAGAAGAAGAAGAAGCAGCGGAGGAGGAGGTACTGCTGTTGCTGCGGCGACTGCGTTGGCGACTGTCGAGAGTGACAAAGCGATCACCGGCCGCCGGCTAGCGGAGCTCGCGAGGGAGGGGTCCGACGGGGCCAGGATTGACTGACCGACGCTGAAGAAGGGATGGAGCCGCGCAGACAGGTTTGCAAGTGCCCGCCGCAATGTTGGCTCGGAGACGACCCCGCCCGTCGCCGAGCGAAGAACCTTCGGGACCGACCACAGAGGGGGCGACTGAGACAGGGCTGGGAAAATGGTGGAGGCTGGACTGTGGGCGTGCACGACCGTGGTAAGGCGGAATGCGAAATCTTCGGCGGAGAGAGACGCAAACTCAGATTCCGATCGGTTAGCTTGAGCGAACGGCGCGATGATTGCCATACCGTTCCGTTTCCTCGTGCGCGTGGATTAGGGCATGGGCACCGTCCTTGTTGGAGAAGGGAAGGGGAAGGACGTGGCTAATGGCTGCGAAGCAGTGAGACGACGGGCGAGGTTGCGAGGAGTTACGGTGCACGAGCAATTAGGGGGCATCGTCACTGCGGCCACGGATCAGTGTTGGTGGTTGCTCTGGAGTTGGACTGTCTGTCGAAGAGGAGATGCATTTGGATTGCGAGGTGTAGGCAGAGAGGGAGTGCGAGGAGGACGTCTGCAGGGGTTCGGTGATGGTAGGGTCATAGCGATGGTAGTGATCGGAGTGGCCTCGTGAAGGGAAGGTTTGTGTTCTGTAATGGTTTTGAATGGTGTTGTGGCCGCCGATTGCTTGGAGCTGTCGGAGAATAAGTTTAAGGGTGTGCAGTCCCCTGCCTCCTTAATTGTGTTGCTGCGCAGGTGATATCATGGTAGGTGATCGTGGGAGGTGCGCTAAATAATTGTCTTCTGCTGCATAGAGGATTGGTTTGGGATTTGGTGGAACGCTGTTAGTATATCTTTGTATAGGGAATTTCTGCAGACATTACAACCCTGGTTTCTGTGTCTTCGTCTTCGACTGAGGGTTGAAGAATCTTGGAAAACATGGGCGTGCAGAGAAGTAATGAGGAAGATATGAATGAACTTGATATTGTTGTAGATATCAGTCGGGATAGCAAAGTGTCGTGCGCAGCGCCAATCGAGCCTGCCACGAAGGAGGCTCCGATGGGTGAGACGGAGTCAAAGCCTTCACAACGCAGGTGCTCATCGTCAGGCACCGCGGAAACTAGTGAAGGAACTCATGGGGCAGGGGAAGATTCTACTTTTGAGAAGGACGGAGAAACGGAGGAGGAAAACAACCCAGGAACCTTGCAGAACTCCTCTGCGAAGGACTTTAGTGATGCAGCGTGGAAGCTGGACACTCATGAGGTTGATGAGACTCTTCCAACTAACAATGGTGGAGCGAGTGATGGTCGAATTGCGAATGGCATGCCGCAGAAAGTAGGCCGGAAACGGAAGAAGACTATTCATTACAGGAATTCTAGGGTGCCACACGCTATTCCTAGATTGGAAATTGAAAGTGATGAGGAATCTGATAGTCTGGAGAGACACGAAGACGAGGAAGAGTTGCCAGTGCGCCCTCCACCAGGACTCCGTACAGCTGCCTCAAAGGTTTGGATTCGTGTCAATTGATCACTTTTAGAATGGTCACTACTGCATAAGTTTATAGAATTTACTGAAATCTACATCGAAGTCGGGTTGCCTTACGCTTGGGTTGGCGTTGCATTGTGATGTTTACAACCAAACTAAACCTCATGGAATTACAGGTCGAGATTCATTTCGATTGCATTCCTGTAGCTCTATGAGTTGTTGATGATATTCTTGTACAGACTTGCAATCCCGTCTCTGTTTTGCAATGCCTGTGGTCGTGAGGATAATCTACTGGACGAATCTGCTGGTTCCAAAGCTGGTTCTGTGCCTTCAACAATCAGGCTTTTTCATTTTGACATCTTTTGGCGTGCGAATTTAGCAGCGTCGGCTTTGACGATTTCAGTCTCCCTGGTCCAGGGTATTTCATTTTCTCCATGTTTGTCGGGAGAGGATGTCGCTGAAGTCTACGAAATCTGCGTATTGTCTTTTCGTTTTGTGTTGTTAAACCAGGTGACAAGACTAAGCCAGTCATTTGAATTAGTAGGAAGTACGGAGCAACAATTGAGACCCTTACGTGTCGTTTAAATGTGCTTATTGAAGTAGTTTGTATGCTTGGTTTGAGGGCAGCTGAATGCAATGGTACCTGTTGATGACAAGTTAACAAAGCCTCCACGAAATGCTAAGGAGTTAATGGCAACAGGACTTCTTGAAGGGCGTTATGTGCGGTGCTCATGTCGTGGCGAACAAGTAAGTTGCCTTGCTTAGAAAGAGACTGCAGCATCGTTTTCGTGACGATGTATCTGGAGGGTCAGATATGTCTTCTTTTCTTCCCTGTGTATCACCATGTGCTCAGCCTTTACTTTACGCCCGACGGAAACACTCTCGAAACTTCCAGACATTCCTGTAATAGATTTGGAGTCGTAAAGTAACCTACATGCAAGTTTGTTCTGGATTGTCATTGTTGTATTATCATTCAACCATTTTGACATTTAAGTAGTTTTCTACGAATCTCATTTGTTCTTATCGTGGCACCTTTAAAGGTTAATTCACCAACTTTGCGTGTTTGGTGTAATCGTCATAGAGAATTAATTCGGAAGATTGTTTGCTTGATGAGGACGAAGAAGAGCTTAGGGTCCTGAGTTCTTCAGATTTCCCTGATATTCCGCTACCGGTTTATTTGAATGTCAAGATCGATCTCGTGGATATTAGGATTTGAACGTCAAGGATTAAATCCTCACTAACACATTGTTGTTTTGGGGAAGCAGCTCACAGGGATTCTTCAGGATATGGGTGTGGTGTGTAATTGTCGTATCTGTAAAGGGACCCAGGTGACACTTATTCTCTAGATTCGAACTTGTCGGAATGGCTTTTAAAGTTCCATTGGAACTGGGATTTTTCAGCAGTGTTTGCTTTCGCATGAACACTTGTCCTTTTCACCTAATTGTGTTTCGTATTCGATGTGTCGGTGATTTGTCAGGTGGTCTCTATCTCAGCATTTGAGGCACACTCAGGGAGCACTTCTCATCACCCTAGTCACAATATATATCTTGAAAATGGAAAGAACCTACGTGACATTTTGAGTGCTGGACAAGAATCTGCAGATTGTGGAGGTGATATATTAGGAGCTCTGAAGCATGCAATAGGAGAAATTCAAGGGATCCCAAAAAAGGAGGGTGCATGTGGGAAGTGTGGTAAACGTGAAGGAGGGGATTTCGTCTCATGCAAGGAACCCAAATGCTCAGCTGTTTATCATGCCGGTATTTCACGTTTGCTCGCCTTTAGTCTGTTGTTGAGTCTGAACGTTCTTTGGAAGGCATTTAGATGCGTTTTACTCCAACTAATTCGTCTAATTTCTTGAATTAGAATGCGTCGGGCTTCCTAGTCCTCATCGAGTCGATTGGTTCTGTGCGAAGTGCGAGAAGGCGCAAGTAAAAATGCCGAAGACTGTTCTCAAAATGAAGCGTCCACCTGCCGTAACAGACAGAGAAGATACTCGATTAAAGTAAGGATGATTATAATGATTAATTACATGCTGACGCATGGGTGTTGCTTTTCTCCTTCTTCCTCTTCTTCTTCTGATTATTGTTATTATTAGTATTAGTATTATTATTATTGCCATTATTTCATCATATTGGGTTGATATATATATATCTATATATATCTATATATATATAGATATACACATTTGTGTCATGTAAGAGTTTCGAATATTTTTATGTCTTTACAATGTCTGAGGAAGCATTCGTGAGAGATGGTTTGGATGTTCAGAGAAAAAGAGCTGACGGTAAGATCAGCCCGGGATGCACATCTTCACAAAGCACTTTTCCTGCCAGGCGGCTTGGCGGATGGCACTGAGCTTGGATATTATGCTAGAAACCAGGTATTTTTTGCTAAGTAATATTTGTGTCATGATTTTGCACGCAAGATAATATCTTTAGGCTCGTTGGTTGAATTTATAAAGGTCTAATTGATGCTGTGGAGATGCTGTAAGTTTGGGAGTATTTACACAGTTGCTTAATGTCATCTTTCGCATGACATTTATCGCCTCATTCATGGATTTCATAACAGTGTATTCTTAAGGGCGTGAAGCAAGGCGGAGGTATATGCTGCAAATGTTGTAATCAAGAGGTGAGTTTTTACGAGTTTGGGTTGATTTGAATTCCTTTTTAATCGTATTGTTGGATTTTATCTTTTTTTTTTTATCTTTTTTTATTACATGAGAACATTGTCCAATTACAAATTATTTGTTTTGATGTACAGCGATTATTCAGAAACTGATTTAATTGCTATATGTCAATCTCAGATTAGTTGCTCTGCATTTGAGCAACATGCTGGATGTGAATCTCGACGAAACCCGTGAGTCTTGTGTTTTCCCTGCTTAAAATTGTTGATGAGACATTTTAATAATTAATCAGATTGTGCAAATTGGAATATGGGTCTGCTACTTTTTTTCATATGAAGATCACAGGTAATAGTTTATATTAACTACATCTTTTATTGTGATATGAATTGTGTTGCACTCTCCTTGTTGTAATGATATTGTTAAGTTTTTCTCTCCTAAATGATCAAAATTGCAGATATGGGAGCATTTTGTTGGCAGATGGTCGGTCTTTGAAAGACATGTGTAAAGAGTTAGCCTATCAGAGCAAGCTTGGAGATAGAGCTCATCAAGTTGCTCGAACTGGGGATGTAAAGTCGAGTTCTGGTAGTGAAGAGCAAGGTGTTCTTGCATCAAGCCAGCGTTGTGAATCAACGTGGTGCATCAATTTTGGCACGCGTTTTTCTTGTCAAGGTCAGAAAATCCCCTGAAAAGTGTTGTAAGTTTTTTGTAGATATGTTGATAGGCTTTTGTGTGGAGCCTAAACTCCGTTACTAATACGGCGTGGTGTAATCTACTAGAGAATTGAGTAGCTGACACGTTTTGTTCTTTCCTGGCTTCTAATGGGGCAGAGGCAGATTCTGGTCACCCGTTGTGCAAGATATGTCAGAAGAATGTAGAGGGTGCGCATAAAACATCAAAAAAACGTGTAGATGCAACTGCTAATATTCCAGCAACAGATGACACAGGGCGCAATGTACGGCTCTTTCAAGCACCAGATTCAAGTAGTGGCTGCGCCATCTGCAAGTAAGTTGTAGAAAGACTTTGTGATATGTACTGGTTTTCATTACGGTGATGTGAATCGTTTTTGTATGTACTTGGTGGTTTTGACCGCTGTTGTAATTTTCTATTTGTGCAGGAAATGGACATTGAAGAAGTGTGGATTTGATATGACAATGTTGGTTTGTGATCAAGTGAGTCAACTGCACTTTTGTAATGAAATCGTTATCTCATTTTTGTTTTGCTTGTGTTGATTTCGCCTGTGGAAATATGCTGACTAGGTACCTTTTTCTTTTTCTTTCTTTCTTTCGTTTTTTCTTTTTCCAGTGTGGACGAGAGTACCATGTTGGCTGCTTAAGAGAATCCGGAATATTGGATGTAAGTTATTGGAAATTGATGCAGACCCCATCTTTTGTTGCATATTGCTTTGTCGAAATCGCGATGCTGATAGGTTTGAAGTTTGTATTCATTTTACTTCACCTTTTGTGCATGCTCACACATATTTAGTCAGGTCGTTCATCACCATCTTACATGTGACAGGAGCTACCAGAGGCCGAATGGTATTGCCAGCCGAATTGTCAGCATATAGTGCAAGTTCTATCTCAGCTTGTGGCAAATGGACCTGAGTTATTATCAGACAACATTGTAAATGACTTGTTGGAAAGTCGGCAACATCAACAGGGTATTGTTGAGATGGCTGAATCCAGTAGCCCAGTTTTTGGGTGGCAAATCTTACACGGCGCTGGTGAAAACCCTGTCAATGGACGCACACTTGCTCAGGCTGTGGAGATATTTACGGTACTGATTGTCCCCTATATCTTCTCTACGCATCGTAATTGTGTGCTTTCATTCGACGTATTCGACGTCTTTAGTGCTACCCAGTTCAAGTTATACGTATTTAATCCTTTCAATTCTATTCTGCAGCGTCAAATGTATAGCGATGCTAACTTTCTTCATATGAGCGACCTGCTGATACAATTTCGTTATGTTTTTGTTTTCAAGGAATGCTCTGATCCAATCAAGGATGCTCCTTCTGGACAGAACATGATCCCCATCATGGTTTACAGGTGTGCCACATTATCTCAAACATGGTTATTATTCGATACGAGTTTTATGGTTTGTTTCCTTCTCCCTAGTTGGTATGGCGTTTTACTCCCTATGGGGAATTTCATGGCATGCTTCGGTTATGATTTGAACTTGTGTTGTCGTCTCATGCAGCCGGAGGTTTAAAGACTATGATTTTGATGGGATTTACTGTGTGGTTCTAACGCTCAAGTAAGCTGTTTCGACCTCTGACATATCCTTTCTGCTATTTGTATAGAGTAGTTGTTTGGGTCGCATTTGAGAAAATTGCTCTATTTCGTGTAGTGGTCGAGCGTCGGAAATGATAGTTTTCTGTATTCTCTCTTACTTGAGCAATATTATGGCCGTTGATAATGTTTGTTTTACAGTGAGAAGGTGGTCTCGACAGCTTTACTGCAAATTTTTGGTCGGGAAGTTGCTGAAGTTCCACTTATCGCGACTAGTGTTGATCACCAAGACCAGGTAATTTTTTCCTCTTGTTATCGTAGTTGGAGGTGATTTTTTCCTATTTGAAGCTTCTTTTTAAGGCGTATGGTAATTATCTTTGATATGCACTTTCATGAACTGTGCGTTGGGTTATCATTGTGTATTGAGTCTTTTACCATTTTATTTTCTGGAAGTAGGGTTTCTGCAAGGCACTCATGACCACTATAGAAAGGCTCCTTGGCGTTCTTAACGTGGAACGTTTAGTCCTCCCAGCAAGCAAGAACGCAGAGTTTGTTTGGGTGAATAGGTTTGGATTCTCTCGTATGGAGGATGCACAGGTATGACCTCTTGGTTTTCAGTTCGTTTTATGTGTTCGAAATTTTATCGGAGCTGTTCCATTTTATGCTTGCTTAGTAACGTAGTATTGTTCAAGTTTCCGTTAAAAGAATCTCAGAAAGGCAGCTTTGATTAGCTGGGCTCAAGTGCAATTAAATGGGTCAGAAACGTAAGGTATCTACTGTGGTTTACGCTGCTATTTTCAACTTTATGCCTTTGTGATTGATTATTTGCTGGATTTTCTTTTTGAATCGTCTCATTGACACTACAAGGTCGTTAGGCTCCCTCTTGCTTAGTAATTGTGATGAAAACTGGTGTTATCGATGTATAGCAGTTGCTTACGCTGGATTTGTTTTTGGACAATTTTGTGTGCAGCTCAAACATATTCGTTCAATGATGGGGTTGTTGGTCTTCACTGGCACTACAATGCTTGTAAAACACATTGATGCGGTGACGCTTGACGAGCGTATTTCTCTGGGGAAGTTCGACAGGTACAATGACCATTGGGCTGCAGGACGGCGGTGATTCATGTTTGCTTCGCCAAAGCAGATGTGCTTATGGCACACATGTCTAATTTTCCTGTACATTGGTTGTTCCATAGACATTATGAACCTCAGTTGGGACTAAACATTTTTGTGGTGTATCCTCTTCATGCCGCTGTACTTGCGTTGATAATGATGTTGATAGGACACAACATGTTGACGAGCTGCGCACTTTGAGCTTCAAAGATCGAACTGGATAATGACCAGAGCATCGCAGAAATCTGAATTCGGTCAACGACGTTGAAAAACGTAGCCGTAGTCTTGAACTGGGATTCCAAGTACCTTTGCTCAATATACGGATAATCTCATGGTAGGAATATGAATTCTTTGCATGGAGTGCTCGAACCTTGGAGGTTCTAAACCATAAGGTGAAGTTTGAGCATTAACACGATCACTCAATTATGTGCACAAGTATCAAAGCATGGTATTTTTTATCAATTTTCAAAGTTAAAACCAAGGATGACAAAGACCTGCACAGATATCATCTGAGAACAGCATTCTGTCCAGCTGTGAAAGAACTTCACGTTTTCTTCGCACTTATGACGAAAACAGTTCTTTAAGTGCTCGACATCCCAAAAAAAACCATCTTTTCATCCAGACACGAGGCCATAGCATCGTGTTCAATGCCCACGGAAAGCAGTCACATTCTCATCTCACAGCCCCCCTGAGAATAGACGCTGAATCAAGTCCAGCCCACAGCGATTCGAATCCTCGTTCTTCTCAAATGCAACGTCGTCCAAGCTCCCCATCGCATCCGACCCATGGTTGTTTAAAAAAAGAGCTCCTTGAGCGCGCCGACGCTGGAGAAAACCTCCAAACCTCCCACCAGCACAGGAGAATACGGCCCAGGAATACGCGAAGGTCGGCGGGTCCGTGGTGCTGTCGAGGAGGGTCAAGCACTCTCCGCTCTCTCCTTCACGACCAACCGAACCCAAGTGACTTCGCCCCACCTCAACTCTCGCTGCAACAATCAACTACATCAACGCAATTTATGAGATTCACCCCACAATTCCCTTGCAGCATGGAGGTCCCCTGCACGTCTCCTCCTCAGCTCTCTCGCCACAACCAGGAAAGGCAAACGCCACCACGGTCGTGGGCTGGAATCTTCCACGGGACTGATCTTAAGAAGATCATGGGCGGAATCTTTTCCGGAACGGTCTTAGGGGCGGTAGCGGGCAGGAATCTTCACCTCTGGCATGGTCTTAGGACCTCTAGCTTAGAGTTTTTTCTGTTTTTTTTAGAACAATAGTAAAGATAGAGCGTTTTGCTTAGTATTTCATTTTTTTCATTTATGCAATAACATAACCTTCCGATTGTCTCTTGTACTACATGTTTTTGTTTTAAGTATACATATCCAAAGTTTTGATGGTTGGGTCTAATTTGTTGCTTGACATTTTGTAGCATTTTTGGTGAAAAAAATTCTAGTACATCTAATGGTTTGTGTGAAATTTTAAGCACGTGAATGTTTTCTATATAAAGTAAATGTGATATATTAGATAAAATTTATGAAAAATAATTCAGAGCACATAAGCAACAATATTATTTAGCAATACAAATAATTAACTACTATACTTTATTTTTGTGGTATATAAAGATAAAATGGGATTTTAAAAGAAATCTAATTTTAAGGAAAATAGTATATATATATTTATATATGTATATTTATGCATATATATTTAAAATAAAACTGAAATAAGATAAATTTAAAATCAACAATTATTTTCATAGTGTAAAAATGACAATGCAGTACCTTTTAATAATAAATACAAAATTCACATCTTTATAAATATGTTAATACATAAAACTTATCAAAATTGATCAAGTTTGATGTGTGTATGTAGTTGAAGAGTTATAAAGGTATATATATATATATATATATATACACACACCTACATCAAAAATAAATAAATAAATAAAAGCAGTGTATATGCAGGTGAATAAATAAATCTGAAAAAAAAATAAAAATAAAAATAAAAATCTTGGTAGTTGAAGATTATTTGTGCATTTAATATAGTTCTAATGGAATATAGAATTCAAATTCATAAAAAAAAGATGTTGTTACATAGATACTTTTGTACATAGTTTTTGAATCACAAAGTGAATAAATTAATTTAAAAAAAATTACAATATTAATGATCTATATAATATAAAATTAGACATAAAAGCTTCAATTTTGTGTCAAAAAAAATATTCTAGAGTGTGTGTTGTTTACATGAATAATAATTGGAATATAATTCAAATTCTATATACTTCTATATTTGTGGGGACTACACAAAGGCAAAGAACTACAACATGATGCAAAAAAATAGAGAGTATTTTACAATGAAGACTGTAAAGAAATAGTTAACAAATATAGTTTGTATTGTGTTAAACAAGTACACATGTAAGCCATTTAATAAATAAAATTTAAACATGAATTAGTAAAATGTTGATAGATACTTGAGAGAACAATATTTATTTTGTTGCACAATGTTAATGCTCACAATACAAGCTTTACTACTCAAGTTTTTTATTTTAAAAGATTACATAGAAAACAAGAAAGAATGACCATTACTAAATTGATAGTTTTTTGCAAGTCAACTCTATTTGCAATTTTTTTTTTTTTATTATTATTGCTGAAGAGATGTGATTCAATTATACCAATGCAAAGCTTATAGAACAAATAGATTGTCAACTTTGATTTTCATACTCATTCATAGATTTACTCTTCCATTTTGTGAAATTTAGCCATATTTCATATTTCAAATTTAGCCATATAGCCATATTTTAGAAAAAATTATGCATTATAGAGATAAAACACCTTGCAATGAATAAAGAATATCTTATAGATAAAGAGCTTAATATCAAGTTACAAATTTAGTTTGCCTTCAAAGATATTTTAGACATCCTTGGCAAATATTAAAGTCTACTTTTTACATTGTATTACTTATCTATTTGAACAATTAAAGCTCTTCTAAGATATATTGTGATGTAGTAGGTGGAACTTTCAAGCTGATTATACTTAAGAAAATAAATTAAAAAAACCATAGATACATGATTTTAAAGCCGTTAATTTTTTTTTAAAAAAAGTATCATTAAAATAAAAATAAAATATAAAATCTATCTATAATATTTTTTTGATGTTAATATTAAATTTTATAATACTAATAATTAATATTTTATATTTATAATTAATAACATATGTATTTAATAAATATGTCTTAAATATTATGCCTAAAGTAATATATTAGTCTTTGTAGCTAAAAATATTATATAACATTAATCTTTGATAAATTACTATAGAATTGATGTGCAATGTTAAGTTATAAAACATCATCACATATAACTTGGATTATTTTTATTAAGCATTGAAGTAGATTCTCTTCAAATACAATATTTTTTAAGAACACTATTTACACTCTAATTGTAAATATGTCATTCTTATCTCAACTTCATTAATGTTGTTATCAATTTAACTCCTTTAATTTATTTAGTTATTCTTACTTTATTTACATATGTTTACGAAATATTTTTCAAATTTCCTAATATTCTTTAAACAAACTTATCCAAAACCTTTAAATTTTTCTACAAAAATATCTGTGATTTCCAAAATAAACCACAATAAATATAAAATACATCCCCTTACAATGCTACAAGTTATAACTTTCTATTCCCGTCTTATAATAGAAACCCCATCCTTTAACATCAACCTAATCTAGTAGATGCCTCAAAGAACTTGTTATGTTGTTTATTCATCATAATAGTTTGAAATTTACAATCTCGTTGAAAAGAAATCATTTCATGTAGCAATCAGAGTTCGATTAAGAGATTGAAACACATGCAAGAAAAAAACATTGCAACACAATGATCCATCGATAAGAACACCGACACCACCATTAAAAATTCCAGATCATCGCACAAGCTTCGGCACACATGGAGTTGCTACTACTACTCAGATCTACGGAGCTGTAGATCAGACCCACCTTGGATTGGTGATCTACTGCAGAGGGGGCTCCACATCATGTGATTCCTTCCTCAGCAGACAGATCCCGAGGGATCATGTCAGAGTGTGAGAGAGCAAGGAATAGCCATTACAAAACCAGCACTTGGGTTGAGCTTTGAATCCGAGGAAATAAAGAGTCTCTGCAGCAGCATAGGGTCTCGCAATGTCTAGTTCCTAGTTGAGGGAGTTGCCATATTTGGCAGTGCGGACGAAAGTCGTTTTTCAGCGGTGTGGAATCGATTCAAGACAGTGGCGAGATGATATACGCAAACGAAACTACATGAGATCGAGGAAGTGCGGAAATAGGCTTAACAGGAAGGACACAGCAACACTGGATCTGGGCAGCCGATATTCCGGCTACCGCTCACGGCTCTCAGATGTGGAAAAGTTGCAAAATCGCTGGCGTCATGCTCGGTGCAGGGGCCATATATAGCTGGCAGCTCCTGCATGGCTTCGTGCAACAGCTTGACTAAAATAAGTGTTTGGCACAGGGAACGATCAATAGGAATACGCGCAGATCAGCTAATTTACGAGTCTTCGCGTACAAAGAGCTGAAACTGGAATGATTCTGTCTCCACCGTTGGAATGCATCGCGGCTCAGAATGGTGCTGGATTCCCGGGATTGGTACGCTCGTCCCCGCCATGTAGGACAGCACCGAATCCAACTTTGTAGGGAAAAAAAATAGAGATCCGCCAGGATAAATCAAAACCAGCACACCAGTTGAAGACTAAGCGACCAGCATTCGCAGTGAAGAAGCACATGATGGGAAAAAACTCCAGATTGGTCAACCTGGTCCAGCGACAGTTAAAAACACCTCGTTATGTCCTTATATTGTCTAGATTTGTCCTCAAAAACGTTTTCCCAGGGGCCCAATCTGAGACCTCCATCATCGACATCCCTGTGAACGGACTGAATATTAACTCGGCTGTTAATATGATGGACCATGTTAATGCAAATCCTCGCAATGTAAATAAATCAAGAATGAATGGTTCGCAAGTCACCAAGATGATTGTTGATGATGCATGCTACTCGCATGACCCTTATCACTGGTGCATTACAGCACACAAGCTTCGATCGGCCCCATTAACTGAATCGCAAATGTGATCCTCTTGGTTTCCTCAGCATCTTCCAAAGGAATGAGACTTGGGATGCAATATGTTCGACGTACAAACACGGCCAACCACACACACACACAAACTCACACACATGTGTACAAGTTCACACATACGTGTGGAATCCGGAGGCATAAATCATCCCATAACCTTGTTTTTGTTAGTCTAAATTACAACTTGCATGGAGGGATTGATGATTTTTAATTGTTCACTGTAACAAATTCATTGCTGACAAGAGCATTATCTAACTCAGAATCAAGATCGGTGGTCGTTAAAAAGGGGATCAGAAAGGGATCATCACAGTTGATAAGCAAATAATTTACGAAAGAGAAATGAACTGATGTGAATACTTCCTAATAGTA